TCCGGCAAGACAAACCCAATGGCAATCTGCTAGCCCCATGGTGGCCATGCTAGCCTTGGTTTCTCACTCTTCGCCAGCTATCTTCTGAAGCTTGCCATCTTCCCCGTCTGCCTCACCTCTTCACCCAAAACAGGGCTCAGATCCTCCACCCAGCACTTCATTTTGCATCGTGGAGGATTCTGCCTCCTAGATTGTTATTTATTATGCAAAAAAACCCACTACCAGGAGAGCCTACATATATAAATGTAAAAAATTCCAATCCTTCACTCCCTCAACAGCACAGTTGCCAATTAATCCTTCTCTCTGCACTGTTCTATATTTTCTTAAACATCTTAAGCACACAGGACTTCCTCATCACTCTCATCACAAGTATATCTTTCTGCCATAGTGGCACACCAGCCACCAATCTCTCCAGCCTCTAAATTCTTCAATCATCCTACTCTCTAGCATTTTCTCAAAGGATTTACTCTGATACACGCCCTCCCCCACCTCAGTAGTAATTGACACTAGTTCTTCAACACCCTTTCGAGCCCCTCACATCAACGGACCTCCATCTCCTAACCTTTATGACCTCATTTCTCATGGCAATCACCTCTGCACAATGTGCCAGTGAGCTTGCAGCCTTACGGTCTAACTACCCATATGTCTGGTTCTACCCTAACAAGGTTTGGCTTTTTGTAGATACTTTGTTCCTTCCTAAGGTTGTCTCCCAGTTCCACCTCTTTCAACCATTGGTTCTTCCATCCTTCTTCCCATCTCCATCCACTCCTCAAGAACACATCCTTCAAACCTTGGATGTTAGATGGGCTCTAGCTTTCTGTATAGTCCACACGAAACCATTTCAGCATTCACCTAGCCTTTTTGTCAGCTACCAACCTCCATCACAAGGTCTCCAAGTCACCTCTCAGCATATATACAAGTGGGTTGCCTCTGTTATCCAACTTGCCTACCAATTTGTATATCTTCTGGTGCCACAAGCCCCTCGCCCACACTTTACCAGGGCATTGGCGGAATCCACAGCTTTCCCCGGGGGGTTCCCCTCCATGAGATTTGTGCATCTGCCACATGGTCACAGCCGTCCATGTTTTTTAATCACTATTGGCTAGACTTTCGCCAGAAGTCCAATGGAGCTTTTGGACATGCTGTACTTTCTTATACCTTGGTCTGACACCCTCCTCTGGGTAATCCAGCTTGTTAGTAACCCAGAGTGTGATTCACAGAGTTGATGAAGAAGAAAGACAGGTTATCTACCTGTAATTGTAGTTTTTCAAGTGGTCCTCTGTGATTCACACATCCGAGCCCAGCCTCCCCACTGTCATGCCCTCACTCCAAAGAGGTGGTTGACTTAACTGAAGGGAGAACCTTGGTGCCAAGGTACATATACTAGGGGGGGGGAGGGGTTTGTACTAATGTATCTTTTCTGATTGCAGAAGCTCTAGATTAGAATATTCCAACAAGGCTCAACACATATGCAGATCACCCAGGGTGTGAATCACAGTGTTCAAGGCACAACGAATAAAACTAAATTTTGTGAATTGTAGTCCAGATGTTCTTTGACATTCCATTGCTCAAGAACAATCACCTGGAGTTTGGTGACAGTTTGTGCTCAGTGGTTTAAATGTTCCTGTAATTGTTTTTGAATAATGCCATTTCTGGAGTCATTTATTCTTCTGCAGAGAACCAGGATGAGCTGTCTCAGGGAGCACTGGGACCAAATATTTTCTAAAAGCTGCACATGGCCCAAAAATGTCCATTTTGGCTCATTTCATTTTTAAAATGTAAATTGGGAACACCTAGGCAGCGTTTGCAGTTTTTATTTTTCCCTTTTCTGTACACCAGCCCTGATGCAAAAATCATTTGTCCTGAAGGCCCTCAGGAGTGGAACTAGTGAATTTTTAAACAGTTTAAAAATAGTTTTTTTCATGGGAGGGGGTGCTGTGAGGTGGCTTTAGAGATTGTGTGTGTTCCCTTCTGCCCTGGATAGAAGTGGATCTGTTCATCCTTTGCAGAATGCAGTACAGCATTGCTGATAAATAATGGCATCTATTGTATTGGAAGATAACAGTTCTATGTACCACTGGTATATGAGTGACATTACTGGGTCCTATAATATTTATATATTTGTTTATTTCACATTCCAATGCTGTCCAGGCTTTGTTCAAAATAGAACTCTAACCATAAAGTATAAAAACATACAATAAAAATAAAAGTAAAAACAGCTAGAGAAAAAAAGTAAAAACATATGGAATATTAAAATCTCAAAGCATACATACAGTTTTTTTAAAATAATCTAAAATGCTGGGGAAGTAAAAATGTCCTTAGCTGGTCTTAACAACAATTCCAAAATGTGCACCAGGTGAGTCTCTTGGGGAGAAGTATGCCACAAATAGGGTAGTACTTATTTAAAAAGCCCTCTCCTTACAGCTACACACCTTACCTATTTTCCTGTCTTGCTCCTTAAGAAATCATCTGATGTGTCCTCACCAACATTCCCTCTAAGCTGTGTGTGCATATGTAGCGTTTCATCAATCCACTGCAGATAGATCAATGTTGCTGCCAAGTTGCTTTTAGTTGCAGGTGAACCCCTGTATGTGGGGAGGGTGGAGCTCTGCCCATCACTAGCAGAAATTAGAGGGAACGTTGGTCCTCATCCAGTTTCAAAGGCAGTACTACATACAAATTTCAGTAATCACAACAAGACGTTACCAAAGTATGGATATGTGTAACCAAGGTATTTTGTCTGGTTTGACAATGTGCCCCCCTCTCTGTGCTGCTGCCAAGGCTTCCAAAGGCTTCCCCAGTTCAAAAGGGAGCCCTAGGGAGCTTCACAGCATGACAAAGGATGGGAAGCTTTCAATTAATTTAAATTAATCATGGCCAACATAGGATGATAATACCTTCCTACTAGCATGGCGTAAAGCTGTGCAAGAGGATTTCATTCACTGAGACTACCTGTGCCTCCACTGACAATGCTGGATCCAAGAGACACCCCTAAACTATGTACTGATTTTTAAGTGAAGTCCTTCGATAACAGTTAGAGCATAATTCTGTTGTTCAGGCAAACCAAATGTCTTAACACTGGCTCTGATCTCTCTCTTTCTGTGGGGAGGGATTCATTTTTGCTTTACCGGCCCTGCAAGGTCATTGCAGAAGATGTCCTGACCTAGGCCCTTTCCATGCCAAAACCAGTCTTGAAAGAGAGCCACAGTACTAGAATGTTGTATTAAAGAATTCTAAGCACCTCACTTAACTATGTATGCTAGGATTCCATAGGAGGGAGCCATGGCAAGGAAAGTAGTATCAGATTACTATGAATTAATCCTCCTTATCTTAGTGGCTTAAAGCTTTTGCGATGTCTAATAGTTACATTTTTTGTTGCCCTTCTAATTTTAATAGTTAGAATCCCTATATGAACGGGAAGGATGAGGTGGCCTGCTTCCCATCTACCAACTATTGGTAGAGATGTCCCGAGACTAGGAGGAAGCACAGGAATGTACATTCAAGTGTGATTTGTATTTGCCTTGCCTAAATGAAATGAAGGGGACATGGTGGCACTGCGGGTTAAACCGCAGAAGCCTCTGTGCTGCAAGTTCAGAAGACTAGCAGTCATAAGATCGATGGAGTGAGCTCTCACTGCTTATCCGAGCTCCTGCCAACCTAGCAGTTCGAAAGCATGTAAAAATACAAGTAGATAAATGGGTACCACCTCGGTAGGAAGGTAACAGCGTTTCATGTCTAGTTGCGCTGGCCACGTGACCACGGAAAACTGCCTTTGGCCAAATGCTGACTCTGTGGCTTGGAAACAGGGATGAGCACTGCACTCTAGAGTCAGACACGACTGGACTAAATGTCAAGGGGAACCTTTACCTGGTGAAGGGAATGGGAAGATCAGTCCATTTGATAATGTCTTGCATTCATTGAAAAAAAAAGACTTGATACATAAAGTCCACTATTCTCTGTCCTTCATGTCTCCACATCTTCCAACTATCAGTAGACTTAAAATGCTCCTCTGGATTTTGAAGCTTCAGCAAGTATTGCTGTCACACTTTCAGACATATCATTATAGCACAAAGAGCTAGAAATCTTAAAAACTAAGTGTGATATCATCTCATCCCATTTTCCAACCTTCTCTTCCCTTTCTTTCTGTATGAGTTTCATGAAACTACAGTGGTGCCCTGCATAGCAACGATAATCCGTGCAGCAAAAATCATCGCTATACGGATTCGTCACTATGCGAAATAAAAAAGCCCATAGGAATGCATTGAACCCCCTTCAATGCGTTCCTGTGGGCTTAAAACTTACCTTTTAAGTGAAGAATACTCCATACGGCGGCAATTTTAGCTGCCCAGTAAGCGAGGAATCTGTCCTTGTTTTACCCGGCGGCTATATTGGAACAGCTGATGAGCTGGGGAAAAATCATCGCTATGCGAAAATCGGTAAGCGAAACAGCTTACCAATCATTGCAAAGCGATTTCCCCCATAGGAAACATCGTTATGTGATCGCAAAAGCGATCACAAAAACATCACCACTATGCAGATTCGTCGTTAAATGGAGCGCCCATTATGGGAGGCACCACTGTACTAGTGAAAGGGAGAGTAAGAAATCAAAGCATGCAAAGTAAGAGAGTTTGCTGTATGGTGGTCAGCTCATTCACACTACCATTATCCTCATTCTTTCTCTGTTTTTCCCCTCTCCTCTGCCAGGAAGGTGCTTTGTGGAACTGGGAGCACTCTTGAGAAAGGAGTAGTAGTTCCTCCTGATCTTTTTATGTATTTAAGGTTGCCTTTTCCTAAAAATAGCTACTCACCTAAGAACCTGCAATTTGCATATTTTTCAAACTTAATGTGCTTGTTTTATCTCAGCTCTAGAACTCTGATAACTATAGCTATAAAGTATTCGACAGTATTAATTTTTTGAATTGTTATGCTGCATTTTCATTGCCTTCCTGTTTCAGTTATTCTTGTAATTCACTAATTGTGGGTGATCTCTACTTTTACAGTGCTTTGTTTAACAGATCACTTCCGATGTGCCAGTGGGCAGTGTATTGGGAAAAACAAGAAATGTGATGAGCACTTTGACTGTAGTGACAGTTCTGATGAACTGGGATGCTGTAAGTGTGGAAATTTGCATTTTGGTATGGAGTAGGTAGAAAAAAGCTTTATAAATCTTGGCATAAAGGTACAGATGGCTGTGAATGTGGTAAAGATTCAAATATGATTGTGTGCACATTATGATTCTAACTATATAGCCACACCCCACCCACAACTTAATGCTGAAAAAACATATCAGGTTTGCTAACTGCTTTAATTTATAGATATTGCCAACATTTATGTTCAGTCATCTTGGCAAACGAACATAGAGATCATCTAGCAGTAACATCATTTGCATGACTATAAGAACATGTGCTCCATCATGCACTACATCCAAAAAGTAATGCACATAGATATTTACCACAAAAAATTGGAGGCAGTGGATTATTGCAAATCCATCAGGTAGTAGAGGAGGAAAAAAGAAGCCTAAATTATTATATCAGTACACGTTTAAAAAATTACTTAAGGCAGTGAAAATGGAGAATATTTTGAGAACAACAGAAACAAAGGCTCAATATAGCAAACAACAATTTGAAAATAAATTAAACAGTAGGAAAAATAAACTACTACATGAACAACACCTGAGAAATATTGATGGAAAGCATGATAATGATTCAACATAGGCATGGTTAAAACTGGAACCATTAAGAAACCGAAGGTTTGATCTTTGCTGCACAAGAAAAAGGATTCCAAACCAATGTGATGAAAGCTAAGATCTACTAACAGCAAATGTCGACTCTGCCAAGAAAAGAATGAAACTTGTATCAAACCTCATCTGTGAATGTCCAAAGATTGCACAAACAGATTACAAAATTAGACATAATGGAGGAGCAAAATTAATGTTCTGGTCACCATGCAAAAAAAAATAACTTGCCAGCCTCCAAATACCCATGAGAGCATCAGGTAAATAAGGTGTCAGAAAATGACAAAATCAAGATATTGTGGGATTTCTGAATCCAAATTGATAGATACCTTGAACATAACAAACCACATAGTAGTAATAGAAAAAGAAATGTCTGGACCATTGACATTGAAACTCCAGGGGATGCCAGAGCTGAAAATAAAGAATAGGAAAAATTAACAAAATACAGAGACCTGGCAATCAAAACATCTCACTTGTGGATGAAACACACTTTGGTGGTCCCCATAGTCATTGGAGCTTTGGGAACAATATCAAGAAATTTCACACAGTATTATAAGCAGCTGCAGATCTCGGAAATAACACCATCACGGCTACAAAAAACTGCAACATTAAGAACAGCATACATACTGTACCGATATTTACCAGCTACTGAGGTTTTTGATTAAAATTTGTATCTGTTATATAATACCACTCAACGTTTTTATAATTTTGGTTGATTATGGTATTTTTTAATAATAATAATAGAAAAGAATTATGAAGCGCACAGTATAAATTATGTATGTAGGACCTGTCACAGATCTAAACAAATAGTTCTATTATGGATGAATGCCTTAAGCTAGCATCAACGGGTTGTGCATGCAGTCATAACCAAGTTTCAAAGATTGTTTTAAGCAGTTAGCCAAATCTTTGCCACCGTTGGTTTTAGAAAAGGAATCTGTCATAAAGTTCTGGTCCAACCAAATTATCACAGATAAAACAATGTGTTTGATAAGCCGTGTATTATACTTCTGGATGCAACAAAGAAAAAGAAGTCCAAGTTCCATCAGCAAGCAACCCTGGAAGTACAGAAAATTAACAAGTACCAAACATTAAGACAAGAAAGTGAAAGATACAGTAGCAAAATCAGATTATCTTCTTCCCCGTATTAATTTCAGCAACTGGAATAATTCCAAATTTTTTAGCTACTAATTTAAAACATGGATCAATAGCTGCTAATTTACTTCCTGAAATTAAAAAATCAGTGATTTTACAAACATGTCCTTTCAGCCACAAATGTTTTGGACTTGTCTCCTAACCTTTTGGCTTAGCCCCCCAAAACATGCCAACAATGCTGAGGAACAAGAAATATGTTTATAACAAGAACAACAGTATATTGCAGCATAATAAGAGATGATCAAGTCAATTCCAACTTACGATAACCCAGTGTTTTCTGGTTATAAAGTAAAAGTGCAGAGTGGTGCTCTGCCACTATGGAACTTATAGAAGGACATAACAAATAACAAAATACATAACCCCATTAGCCACACATGCTCCAGGTGATGTACACTGATCCCTCTCCCGGGAGTCATAGTAAGGATTTGAACTCACACAACTGGCTCTGTAGTCATGTGGTCCAACCCACTGAGCTATGCCAGTTCATAAAAGCATTATACAATTATATTAGCCCCACTTCATGTCTCCTAATTCCAAATCTGGGAAAAGACATTTCATTACAGTGGTGCCTCACTTGACGATGTAAATTCGTTCCAGCGAAATTGCTGTAGAGCGAAAACATCATCAAACGAAATAAAAAAAACGTTCAGTGCATTCCAATGAGCTGAATACCTGCTCATCCAGTGAAGATCCTCCATACGGCGGCCATTTTTGGTGCCTGTAAAGCGAGGAATCCATCCTAGAAAACAGCGGGGAGCCATTTTCTTCAGCCAGTGGCCATTTTGAAACCCGAAGCAGGGAACCGATCATAGTTAAATGAAAAAAAAAACCATTTAAACCATCGTTTTACAATCACAAAAGCGATCGCAAAAACCTAATCATACAGCGATTTCCTTGTTAAGCGAGGCAATCGTTAAGCGAGGCACAACTGTATATCCTTCAGTGCAGAAGGGTTCAAAAAGCTGATTGAGGTGTGTAGGAACTGTCAAATGGTCAAAATGAGGTTTGTATCTCCTTGTTTTTCTCTTACTTTTAGACACAACTGAAGAACCAGCCCCTCAAGCTACCAACACAATAGGTTCTATCATTGGAGTGATTCTCACAGTTTTTATAGTTGCCGCTATGTATTTTGTTTGCCAGAGAGTGTTGTGCCCACGCATGAAAGGGGATGGTGAAACAATGACCAATGATTATGTGGTGCATGGACCAGCTTCTGTACCTCTAGGCTATGTGCCTCACCCAAGCTCTCTCTCTGGATCTCTTCCTGGTTAGTCTTTAGACTTAACATTCATTCCTGGACCATTTGTGTAATGCTCTGCCTTTCAGGTAGGGTTATGTACTTACACAGCTGAATCTTGTGTGCTAACTAAGCCAATGTTAATAGGACATTCCCAGCTTAGTCGTTCTTGTTTTGCAGAGTTTGAAATCAGAACTCTGAATTTTTTTTATTATTTTTTATTTTTGGTAAATGAAATTCTCAAAGTTGCATGTACTATCCACTTCTTCCATAGTCAGGCCCATTAAAGGATAAAGTTACAATAGGTATAATGAATGAATAGTGTGCCAAAGTTCTGTAGATGGCTGGTTTGAATGGTGCTGAAAAGTTATTGAGGGGAAATCTATAGATAGTATAATGAACTTGGAGATGAGATTGTCATATAGCAAAGGACTTTTAAGTGATTTAAATAAAACTTGGGGTTCTCCTTTTTTGTCTACTGATTACCTTCAAGAAGGAACGTGTCTCCTCCATCTCTAGTTCTAATGCCTAAGAGTTAACTGCTATCCAGGGGTGGTATAAGCAGGGCTAAAACACATACACAGTAAACTGATACACATGTTCTATGGAAATTCTGAGACAGCTGAATTATAGTTGTGCAGCCTCTATAAATTATGTGTAGAAAACATATTTGCTTTTTCCCCCCAGTTTAAATACTAACTTTTAAAGTCATTTTCCTCTTAGTAAAATGGGTGTGTGAATGCACAGGGGGGAGGGGAAAGGGAGAAACGAGGCCAGAGGAGTCTTTTCCATATTGGAGTATTTAAATTATGCAGGAAAACTTTGTCTCCTGACAAGAAGATAGTCTGAAAGAAGGATGTGCTCTGTAGTTTGTTCAGTCCAAGACCCAAATGGGAAGTAGGCACTACTGACAGAGAACAAGCCTCCCCAGAGCCTGTTTTTGCTTTTAACCTGTCAAATGTGCTAATTCCACTGAAAGGAGGTAGATTTTCTTCACAGTTACACATTTTTTTCCTTTAGTCTTTTACTCAATGGTGATTGTATTCTTGGCTGTCAGAGGAGATTTTGGTGATGTATGTGACTGGAGAATACTTTCTAACTATTACAGTTCTTGTGGACACAAGATGCTTTTTCCTCCCCAGTCATAAACACACTTGTCAGGAAATGTTTCCGTTTCTTTTTTAGGAATGTCCCGTGGCAAATCTATGATTAGTTCACTCAGTATTATGGGTGGAAGTAGTGGACCACCCTATGACAGGGCTCATGTTACTGGAGCATCATCCAGTAGTTCTTCAAGCACTAAGGGTACTTACTTTCCCCCGGTAAGTCATTTCCAAAAAAGTATCCTATTTTGTGTTTGTTGCATAATAGAGTCTAGATCTGAAAGTTTAACAGTGAAATCTGTTGCAGTTATGTGGTTATTACAGCAAATGTATGTATTTCGTTCTGAGCCAATAAAAATAAAATGAATTTATTAAGATGCAACATTGATGCAGAAGGGATAGATGGATCATTCTTTTTGATCCATCTCCTCTTCACGTATATCTCTGATTTTCCCCCCTCTAAGCTACAGAGAAATTTGCATTATCTTTAAGTGTATTGTTTCACAAAAGTGCGTATTATACATTATACCCAACAATACTTTTTTGTATGGGATTTGCTACATTTTTGAAGTGACAATTTTATTACAAAATTCAGTGATGTGTGAAAAACTAGGGTAACTGTTCTGGTCTAGTTTGGGTACTGAAATATGAAACACTCAAAAATGTAGATCAAACATCATGTTTGTTCATACCTAACTAGAAAATGTTTATTCTTTTAGTCCCTTTTAAGTTGGTGGCAATGTGAGGCCTGGCAAGCTTAACATCTTAGCATAGTAATTGTCTAGAAGGAGTTATGATACATGGACAAGTGTAAAAGTGATGCTGTACAAATAGTCTTATATTAAGTTTGTAAGCCATATATTCTAGTAGTACTGTGTAAGCATTTATCAAACAATAAGCATTCTCCTTAGAATCTATACTTTTACTCTCATGTTGCAGCAGCCTTACTAAAGTGATGTGGGTCTGAGTCTTATGAGTACTGGCTATTAGTAGCTATGCCTACTAATTTTTCTACCATGAAAGAAAAGTAATATAGAAATGCAACATTGTATCATCAAATGACTGTAGATGCAAAATATCAATAGTACATAGAATGAACTGGTGCTGCACTTGGTAAGGATGGTGTTACCATGTTTCAAATATTTTTCTAAACGTTTTTTCTGTTAAAATTGGCTCTTTCTCTTTCTGTAAGATTTTGAACCCTCCTCCATCACCAGCTACAGAGCGTTCCCATTATACTATGGAATTTGGTTATTCTTCAAACAGCCCTTCAACCCATCGATCATACAGGTAATTTTACTATCATCTATTTCAGCTATTGTGCAGCCTTCCAGACGAATCCACAAATCCTACCTACATCTCACACAGGCTTTACTAACCTGTCTGCACACACATACAAGTATAGTTATTTCTTAAACATTGCTGTCCTGAAGAAAATAAAAAATTGTTGAAGTGTCCTCTCACTCCAGAAAACCTCCTGTCTCAGGCCATTGTGGCTCAAGGGGCCAGGCTGTTTGCAAGCTTACATCTGTGCTAGTTGGTTGAAAGGCAGCTTGAATTCCCAGGTTTATAACTCTTGAGCCTTTCTTTGAGATGGTCCATGGGTGATCTTTTGACATAGATGCTTATGAACTTCTGAACCAATATTAATACGTTGAGCAAAAAAATTGAGTGAAAGATAAGTAAATATACCTCTCTTTGCAAGATGTGACTTCTGCAAATTTATTCTATTGAAACTGCCCCCAATTTCCTTCTCTTTTTTTTACAATATATTTAATATAGGGCTGCATTAGAGAAGTTGTGTGTCAATATTTTTAATTTAACCTAAAAGCCACCAGGGTTCTTAATGGAAAACAAAGTCCAACATATGAGCAGTATCTGGTAATTGTACATTGGTATATCACATACAGAGTGAAGTCTGGAGTTCCTTTAAGGTACTAATGTTCCTTCTTCCGTCCTCCCCCTCTTTTCTTTCCCCACCTCAGTTACAGGCCATACAGCTACCGACATTTTGCCCCTCCTACTACACCATGCAGCACGGATGTTTGTGACAGTGACTATGCCCCCAGCCGCAGGGTGATGACAGCAGTGGGGAAGGGTTACACCAGTGATTTGAATTATGATTCTGAGCCTGTGCCTCCACCGCCAACGCCACGCAGCCAGTACTTATCAGCAGAGGAGAACTACGAAAGCTGCCCTCCATCACCATACACAGAACGAAGCTACTCACATCACTTGTATCCACCTCCACCTTCTCCGTGCACAGACTCTTCATGAGAAACTGCCTCCCTCCTTTGACTGCCTCCAACTCACCAGTGTAAATACTAATTGCCCCTATTCAGCAGGGGGGAGGATGTGAGGCAGGGTATAGTGTATACAGTTAAAAATTTATTATCTAGGGTGGGGTGGGGGATCCTGGGAGTGTACAAAAAGGAGGTGATCGGCAAGGTTATTTATATATTTTCCTAAAAATAAAGTTTGCTGCTTTGTGCCATAAATTTTTTAAAAAAAATTTAGACAAAGTTTTTTATTTTTCCAAATGTAACACAAGAAGATGCCTTAAAACATTGAAGTGACTGAGCACATAGGGAAATAGAAGGACCAGAGTGTATTGCTATTCAGTGAGCCAAATACCAAATAAAAAGTAGAAGAAAGCTTTTTTTTATGAGGATGAGAATGAAAGGAGTGGAATGTCTAATGAAGCATCATCATAAATAAGTGCAAAAAGCTGAATAACCTCTTGTATTTTTAATTCTGGTGGACCAGCAATTCCGATTAAACTTTTTTTAAAATTGTCAAGACAGATAACATACGGTACACAAAGGGCTTTAGTTTCTGCAAGAAAACGGCTGTCACAACGGTGAAAACATTTATGCTTATACATAATTATGAAAACAGCACCTTTCGTTGAATTTGAATTTGAATTAGCCCAGTTGCACCATTTTATAGCTCTTTATTCCTTTCTGAGAATTCTACCATGTTCTTGGCTATGGTGGTGTTTGAGACTGTGTGCTTTTAATTACATGTGTGGTTATTTGTTTGGCATCAATATTTCACCATGATGAGACAAAAAATGGGCCTAGAATAAGCTTGTATATCCCTAGCCTCATACCTTCCTGTTGTATTTTGTTCAGTTAGGAAGATTCTGCATTCAAATACATGTGGGGTGCCTTTGTTATCCCCTTTTTGTAGTAGGGGAAGCAGGTGAGAGAATGCACAAACCTGAGGCCTGATCTTTATCTCATGTACAGTCTTTGGGCCAAATAATGAATGAAGAGACCCTTTGTTAAGTGCACGCCTGCCTAAGAATGTATGTGTGAGAAAAAGACAGAATGAGGTTTTTTCCCCTCCTGGTATAATTTGTCTATGTCTCCTATCATACCACTGCTATTTCCATGACAATGACAAGGGTAATAGTACCTGAAAAACTTACCCTCCCAATTCTACAAAATATTTCATTCCCCCCAAAAGTTGTCATATTTTTATGCTACATAAAATAATAATGATAATAATATAGATGCCATATTTATAAATGATAAATTTAACTTTGAATTCATAGTTTAATGTAAATGAAATCTTATATTCTTGCAGTACTTTCAGTGTATTATTACAGTATACCATTCATATATATTAAAAATACTATTTTTTTAATTAGGACACATTTTTTAAAAAAAAAAAATCAGTCATGATCTGCTCTGCACCATCCAGAAGGAGCAGAAATGATTTCCAACAAACTTAAAGAGTGTATCAGTAATGATGCTGAATAAGGCAATCTTTGCAATGTGAGTACGATATATTACTTCTTAAGTGGCAAAATTTTATTTATCACGCCCAAACCACTGTGAATGTCATTTTTCAACATTATTCTTTAACCTAAATATTTTGTTAACATTAATTTGTTGTGGGGTTGGTCCCCCCTTTTTTTCTCTGCACCTTCTATCATTGGACAGGAATATTATCTTTTTATGATAGTTTTACACACTACCAAGAAGCCAACCCATGAAAACCTTCCTTGCTTTAATTATCCAAATGACTGGAACTTGTAGTTTTTTTGATATTTGGGGCATACAAATCTTTCATTAAGGCTTCCATTAGCTTCAGGCTTTGGAAAATATTTTTTTCAAAGAAGGCAGAGAGAGCCTTCCTTTTTGAACTAGAGGTAGGGAGATAATACAGTGGTACCTCGATTTACGAACTTAATCCGTATTGGAACGGCGTTCGTATGTCAAAAAGTTCGTAAGTCTAGGCAAACTTTTCCATAGGAATGCATTTAAAACCATTTAATCTGTACCTGCTGTTTTTCGTTAGTATGTCGAGGCGCTGTTCATAGGTAGAGGCATTATTTCCCATAGGAACTAATGCAGAGCCGATTAATCCATACTCTACCACTAGGGGGAGAATTTTTTATATATATATCTTCTTTTGACCTGAGATGAACTTAGGTCAACAAAAGGGCAGGAAAGGGTTTTTTCTTTTTTTTTTTTCATTCATAAGTCGAGGCTCCATTCGCAAGTTGAAGCAACATTTTGCGAATGGAGCCGTTCATAACTCGAAACATTTGCAAGTGGAGATGTTTGTAAGTCAAGGTACCACTGTATTGTTATATTAATTTTTCAAATACATTAGGAAAAGTAATTACCTCTTATAAGAGCTGCTTCATATGTTATGTATCAGGCAGTTTTATTAGCCATGATTGCATCTACGTAATAGTATTGTCTGCTGAACTAAAGCAGGAAATTGAAATGTGTGGGGTCAGGCAGTAGGTACAGAATAGAGTGTAGAAGTTAACTGTGCTCCGTCTTGCCTCAATATTGTTTACCTGGAAACAGAAGTTCCCCTTTCCCCCTTTGTTTGTTATGGGAATGCCACTGTATCCACAGTATCAACAGTTGGTATGTAATTTATGAAGCAGCCCTTACTTCCTTTCTAGCATCAGCAGAATATAGGCCCCAAGCATGTCCTGCTTTTAAATCCTCACATTTGAGAATATTTTTCCTGACTTGTGCATTGTTACATTTCATGTGCCAGAAGATCAGTTTTACATCCAGGCCATATGTTAACAGGGTGTTTGAAAATCTAATGCAAGTAAACTCTATCAGAGTTGCCCACAATGATAGTACCTTTCTTGGGTATTATCATTGTCACAGAAAGGGAGACAGTAAATCATATCAAATGTTTAAAAGTAATTATAGTAACAGCTGGCACGTCAGTCTAGCATGTCCAAAATCCTTTTGCATAGTCTTCACACTTATGGTGTAACTTTTGGAGTTGAATAGCCTTAGCGTAAGAAATAATCATAAGGCTTACCTGTTGCATGCTTGAACTATGTGATTCCATACACAACAGATAATGTCTGTGGCAATTTCTTATCCTGAAGCAATTTGCCCCCAAAAGTTGCAGTGTTAGCATTATATCAGCATAATTGTGCTAGAGGATTTGGGCCATTTAATTGGAGGAAATTTAGTTTGTTGCACTTTATTTCCAAAAAAAAATTGTGCTAGGATTGGAAGCTGAGTTTAGAATTTATTCTCAGGCTTGGCTCCAAAATCCTACAGCCACCTTGCAGGAGGTCTGCAAAAAATTGAGTTAAAGGAGCTTTGCTTCAGATCCATGAAGGTCTATAGTTGTCCCTTCGGTTTTTTTTACAGGATAGACCTACAGAGAGTCCCCTGGAGATGGATGTTGCATTGTAAATAATACAAACGTTCTGTGCAATAGCCAATACATGAAGAAACTTTGGAGGCTCAGTAGAGGCTGAAGTGCTGATGTAAAACAACCCCTTAGTTGTTTACATCTTTAAATGCACATCATTCTGACAAGGAGTATGTCTAAGCTTGCACTAGAGAATTCAGAATATTGCTTTATTTTATCCCATTCCAGATGTTTGTACAATGTTGGCAACAGTCTTTTCTTATTGCAATGTGTGTGTTTGTGCCAATTTCTGTTATGAGGTGGTTGAGCTTATGCTGTCGTATCTTCTTTCTGAGGGACAAATAGGGTTCATTGCCTCCTAAGTGGATTCATTGAGAAGAACTCACTCATTGCTTTTGGATGACAGGCAGTTAATGAATTTCAATAGTATACACAAGGCAGATATGGAAAGAAAAATGCTAAAATTGGCAAATGCTGCTCAAACTAATGCAAGTAACTTATTTAACCTCTTTGTAAGTCACAAGTTGTACACTGAAACAAATCAATCCTATGGTTAAGTTGCTCTTGAAGAGAAACAAGTGAACTAAGTTTCCACTGCTTTAAAGCTATTGAAACTGCACATCCAGCTCATTGGCTTGACTTGTAATTTACTCTGGCTTGTTTTTGCACATGTATTGTGCACTAGCAGCAGGTTTTCCATCATTGGGGGTGCCGGACCTTCAAGGGTGCAAGTCTGCAACAGCCACATCTTCAGATCAAATGAGAGAAAGAATCAAAATCAAAAGAAAAGTATTTACTCAGACTCCCATGTGCTTAACATAGTTTGAGTATAACATGTTTTTCATTAGAGGCAGTTACTATTTCTTATTTCCAACAAGGAGTTCTTTTCTCTTGCAAAAGCTCTTCCAAATTTTTCCCTTTGCCCACATTTTTTTCCAGCTTTATGCTACTTCTCCTGCCCCATCAACAGGTAGGGAAAGCATTGATTGAATTGGCTGCCTCCTAACTAGAATATCTGAGTTAGCTGAGCTGACACCAAGGCTGCCAAGGCTCTACTGAATCCAAATCCTTCCCAACCTAGGGATGCTGGAAATTATTTAGGACAACCCTGACCTGGCATAACTTTGTGCCAGCATAGTGGTTGTGAGTCTCGGTTAAGAAGACTGTGGCTCTGACATAACACAGCTCCTCCCTTGATCATCACTCTCTCTGTCCCTTTTTTGGCTCTTTTGCCAGATAATTTTAGCTAGCACAACCGTTGTGCTGGTGGAATTGATATCAGCCAAAACAAAGGCATTGTGCTGGCATGAGAGGCATCTGCCCATTCCAAACTAACTGCAGCCAGAGTGTCTTTGATCTTGGATTGTGCTGTAAATCAACAATTACATCTTTAAAGAACTGTGATTTTTTTAAATGCTTGTCTACTGTGTGCTAACAGGAGTTAATTCTAATTATGAAGAAAGATTGTAGACTTAAGCAGGTTGAGTCTGCTGATTTTAGTAGGGCAGGATAATATATTTTTCTTGCCCATTGAAATGAATGGGACAGAAAAGAGATTTCTGGGGATCATGTCTATACCTCCATTACCTTAAAGCTGAATTCTCTTAGATGTCAAAAGGTTGCAGTTGCAAGAGAAATTGCCAGTTTTAGTAGAACCATACCTTCCTATGGTGTTTGCCTCTAAAGTTATACAGTACATCCAAAATCAAAGTGTGAAGCAAGCTTAAAATAACTCCCAAAACTACTGCTGTGTTAAATTCTGATAGCTTGATTTTAGGACCATTTTTATATAAGAACACTTCAAATAAAGACAGTTAGTGTAAAATACATTAAAGAGTTTGCCCGGCATCCCTCCCAAATCTTAAGAAAGAAAATAGTAAGAGAGGGGAGGCTCACTCTTATATTGAGTGCCAAAAATAACAATAGTTAAATAATAATTAAATGGAGGGAGAGTCAAGATATCTTCCTCTACAAAGAGAATACTGTCTATCATAAGCTGAACACATCTTGTTTCTAAGTGAAGGATCTGGTGCTGCTTTAAAACTTTTAAATACTTATGTTTAGGTTTTGTAATTTTTACTCTGTCTATTGCTGTCTTTTAAAAATCCAACTTGTATGTTCATAAATTTCTGTATGATGGTGCTTTGCAAGGATGTATTATAATGACCAACATTTGGTCAGCTCTTCTCACTCATTCACTAACACTTTTTTTGTATTGTAAGATAAAAGTGCTTTAATTGCAAGGTGTATATAACCTTTGTACAAAATTCCTGACCCCTTTTTCAATTATTACTATACATGGAGTTGTAACAAATAAATTGATTTTTTATATATAATAAACTTGAGTGGAAAATGTATGTCATTTAACCGTACTGATCAAAAACAGGATCTTGGATTCTTGTTTTTATAATTGAAAGGGTCACCAGGTACAGTGGCCGTACTGTATGAGACATATAGTAAAAAAACAAGAATACTGTGGCAGCTTTAAAGCTTTTAATGAATTATGGAACATTTCCTCAGAAATAAATTTGTTAAAGGTGCCTTAATACTTTGAGTTTTGTTTACTTTTTCCTAGCACATGCTAAGAGAGACAAATATATTGGCCATCTTCTTTGAAAATCAGTCTATGAGATTATTGTATTAAACATCTATACCTAAAATGTATAGTGAATTAGACTTCATCACTAACTATTTTTCTGCATTGCAAAATAAGACAATAAAACAAGCACCAGCACCTCACTAATCACCCTAAAGAAGAGGTGGACAACTGACTCATATGATTTTGTAGTACAACTCCCATAATAACACTTGGCTGTCAACATATTAGGGGTGAAGGGAATATGAGTAGACCAAAAGTATTTGGAGGGCCACAGTTGTCCATTGCTGCCCTAGACCAGCTATTCTCAACAGGGGACCATATGGCCCCTGGCACATTTGAAAGCAGTCAGAGTGAACATTTTTCTGTTCTATTCACCTCTTCATGTTGCATCCATGTTTGATAAGGGGCCCTGGAATCTGAAAAGAGCTCCCAAAAAGGCTGTGCCCCCCCCCAAAAAAGATTGAAAATAGCTGCCCTAAAGTAATACAGTGGTGCCTTGACTTACGAACGCCCTGACCTATGAACAATTTGACTTACGAACAGCTCCAGCTGCAAAATTTTGCTTTGATTTGCAGCCGGAGCTTTGGCTTATGAACGGAAAAAGGTGGGAAATACAAACTGTTGGTGGCAAAGAGGCTGCTTCTCTGTAATTCTTTCTTCCCAACGGTTAGAGCAGGCAGTTAGGGAACTTTTTTACTCCTGGAGCGCAGGAGGAAGAAGGAGAGGCGGGGTGGTTCCGGATCGCCGCTGGGCACAGGAAGCCGGTGCACTCCCTGCCCATCCCTGGCGCTGGTCTACTCATGAGTAAGCACCATCAAAGGGGTGGGTCTACTCCTGAGTAAGCACCACCGAAGGGGTGGGTCAGAGGGTCTCCGTGGATGGGGCATGTGGCAGTGGCGCAAGAGGAGGAAGGAGAAGCGGCCTGGTGCTGTTGCTTTGGACTGGTAAGGTGCTGCTTTTTCCTTTTTAAAAAGTTGTTCTGGGTGGGTTTTGGAGGGTAGGGTTGGGCTGGGGGGGTTACGTTTCTGTGTTGCTTTGTTTTTTGGTGGGTTTTTTTTGCAGTCTCAGCCTGGGACTTGCTCCAATGTTTATTTTTGGATATATTTTTTTTGCAGTCCCAGCATGGGACTTGCAGTGTTGTTGTTGTTGCTGTTGTACTTTTGTTTCCCCCCCCCCTTCGGCCCGAACAGAGTAATCGGTTTTCAATGCATTCCTGTGGGAAATGGTGCTTTGACTTATGAACGTTTTGACTTACGGCCACCACTCCAATAAAGATTAAGTTTGTAAGTCGAGGCACCACTGTACTAAGTGAGAATATTGTTGGTGATTTACACTTACCGTACATAATGAGATATGTGTTCAGGAGTACATCCAACACCTCATTAATAAGTAGCAATGTGCTGCTGTGATTTCTCTGATTTAAGCTCCTTCTTGGGTGCACACCTTAATGTGGTGAAGGGGTTTGAATGTGTCAGTGCAGTTGAAAGCAATGAGTCAATTTGTTGTTTAGTTGTTAAGTCATGTCCGACTCTTCGTGATCGCATGAACCAAAGCACGCCAGGCCCTCGTGTATTCCACTGCCTCCCTGGAGTTGGGTCAAATTCATGTTGGTTTCTTCAATGACACTGTCCAACCATCTCATCCTCTATCATCCCCGTCTCCTCTTGCCTTCACTTTTCCCAATATCAGTGTCTTTTCCAGGGAGTCTTCTCATGACATGGCCAACGTATTGGAGCTAGGTTTGATCTCCTTGCAGTCCAGGGGACTCTCAAGAGTCCCCTCCAGCACCACAATTCAAAAGCATCAATTCTTTGGTGGCCAGCCTTCTTTATGGTCCTGCTCTCATTTCTATACATCGCTACTGGAAAAAACATAGCTTTGACTATGTGGACCTTTGTCAGCAAGGTGATGTCTCTGCTTTTTAAGATGCTGTCTAGGTTTGTCATCGCTTTCCTCCCAAGAAGCAGGTATCTTTTAATTTCATGGCTGCTATCACCATCTGCAGTGATCATGGAACCCAAGAAATTAAAATCTGTCACTGCCTCCATATTTTCCCCTTCTGTTTACCAGAAGGTGATGGGACCAGTGGCCATAATCTCAGTTTTTTTTTTTGATCAGGCACTCCCATTTCTTTAAGAACTTGCCATAGTACGGTGTGTTCCACACAGTCAAATGTTTTTGCATAGTCAATGAAGCAGAAGTAAATGTTTTTCTGGAATTCTCTGGGTTTCTCCATGATCCAGTGCATGTTAGCAATTTGGTATTGAGTTCCTCTGCCACTTCGAAATCCAGCTTGTAATTCTGGGAGTTCTCGGTCCACATACTGCTGAAGCCTACCTTATAGAATTTTGAGGATAATCTTGCTAGCGTGTGAACTGAGGGCAATTGTATGGTAGTTGGAGCATTCTTTGGCACTGCCCTTCTTTGGAATTGGGATGTAGACTGATCTTTTTCAATCCTCTGGCCACTGCTGAGCTTTCCAAACTTGCTGCCATATTGAGTGTAGTACCTTAACAGCGTCATCTTTTAAGATTTTAAATAATTCAGCTGGAATGCCATCACCTTCACTGGCCTTGTTAGCCATGCTTTCTAAGGCCCACTTGACTTCACTCTCCAGAATGTCTGGCTGAAGGTCAGCAACCACACTACCTGGATTGTCCGGGACATCCAGATCTTTCTGGTATGGTTCCTGTGCATATTCTTGCCTCCTCTTCTTGATGTCTTCTGCTTCTGTAAGGTCCCTATCATTTTTGTCCTTTATCATGTCCATCTTTGCACAAAATGTTTAATATCTGCATTTTTCTTGATCAAATCTCTGGTTTTTCCCTTTCTATTATTTTTCTCTATTTCTTTGCATTGTATATATAAGGAAGTCCTCTTGTCTCTCCTTGCTATTCTTTGGAAGTCTGCATTCAGTTTTCTGTAACTTTCCCTATCTCCTTTGCATTTTGTTTCCCTTCTCCTCTCTGCTATTTGTAAGGCCTCGTTGGACAGCCACTTTGATTTCTTGCATTTCCTTTTCTTTGGGATGGTTTTTGTTGCTGCCTCCTGTACAATATTACGCGCCTCCATCCATAGTTCTTCAGATCCTCTGTCCACCAAATCTACTTCCTTAAATCTGTTCTTCACTTCCACTGTGTATTCATAAGGGATTTGGTTTAGATAATACCTGACCCGTCGTCAGTTTAGTCGTTTAGTAGTGTCCAACTCTTCGTGACCCCATGGACCAGAGCACACCAGGTCCTCCTATCTTCCCGGAGTTGTGTCAAATTCATTTTGGTTTCTTCGATGACAGTGTCCAACCATCTCATCCTCTGCTGTCCCCTTCTCCTCTTGCCTTCACGCTTTCCCAACATCAGTGTCTTTTCCAGGGAGTCTTCTC